AGGTATGATGGTTGGGTAACCATGATCACCTCGGGTGTATTGACCTTGATATGCATTCATACATTTGCCACATTCCCAATGGAGGCAATCTAGCTTTCCTAACATTACAGGGAAGCCATGCACATTTGCATGATGACTATATAATTCTTGGACGTCATTATAAGTAGGTTTACACAAATATCGTGGACCATACAATCTCAAGACATATTTGCAAAAATTATAAATGCTTTCTCGTGCAGTACGTGAAAACATCCTAAGATTCTCATCTAGTGCATCGGGGAAGTGGTATATGCTAGTTAACAAAGCGAGGTTGTGCATTTTTATAAGGGAATAAAACCTATTGTACCTCTAGCATCTGGGTGTTGTTTGAAATATGGGAATGCTTCAGTGACATCGTTCACTATACGTTGAAACAAATGTTTGTGCATATGGAATCGTCGTCGAAAAATACCCTTGAAAAATCATGTGCTCATCAAAATAATCGTGCATGAGGCGTTAGTAAGTAGCTTCACAAATTCTTTGTATGTATCTTTTTTTCTCCGCCTCGTATTTTCGACATTCATTCAACATAATTCTTCTATCTTTACTTCAATGGATTGAATAACCTCCATGGTCATTTCTAACACTGACTCAAGAATTCCTGAATATGAAGATGAAGACATTTTTAAAGAGAAGAAAGAAGTAGGTTTTGGAGTGGCATGAAATGGTGTTTATGGTTGTATTTATAGGGTTTTAAAACTGAAAAAAGTAAATAAAAATAAAAGGTTTAAAAATATAGCGTTTGATGGTTGGTGGTTGGAAGCTATCAAACTTAGTAATAAACTGCAGAGTATCCCTGTTGAGAACGAGACGTGGTGTGCATCGAGTCCATCTAGACGATGCCAAGCCCTTTGCCGAAAAATATTTATATTTTATAAAAGTAGAATTTGTTAAGTTTGGAAAAATAATGTAAAAAAAATACAACTTTTTTTTTGGAAACGACGGAATTATATTAAATAAAAGCCACTATCAATCAAGCACAAAGTAGGGCAAGAAAAAAACAATTACATAATGTTAAACGAGGAGCAAAACCACTCTGCCCAATTACAAACACCAAAATGACCTCTATGATTTACCCAACTAAAAACCGAAGTGGTAATGATGTCCACTAGTTTTGAAGAAGAGATTCTCAAAATTTTGAATATCAAGTCATTCCTTGGTATCCATATGCACCATAGGAAACCATAAACGATGACCAACAAGAGATCACGTTTCTTAGGACATCGCCCCCAATACGCAACGAAACCCACCAATTCACTAACTGTCACAAAATTTTGAGCTGGAATGTTACACCATTGGAAAATTCACTTCTAAGCCTCCTTAGCGAAATGAAAAACCACCAGAAAGTGATTCGACTCATCCAGACTAGTAGAACAAAAATGACAATTCAAAGAAGAAATAGAAATTCCCCTGCAAGAAAGCGCATGCACCGAAGGGATCCGATCCATACATGCACGCCAAACAAATCCAATAACTTTAATAGGAGCCATGTGAACACAAATGGTTGGATTGTCCACATGAGTAGTAATCTTAGAGTCAATAAGATACCTCAAATTACAAACTTAGAAATTACCGTCAGAAGAGAGCTGTCCACCCCAGAAACTAAATCCACCGCACCAGAAATGGCATTTAGCTCCATAGACTCCACATGATTACTAGGAGTTTTTTTTTTCACACCTAATTGATGTTCCGATTGGATCTAATCCTATCAGATATGAAGCGGGATTTTTTCCTGTCAAGATTAAAGATGCTCGGAAAGCAATCAGCAAAAGTCCCATCTTTGGACCAATCTTCCAACCAAAAGAGGGTATTATTTCTAGAGTTAACTTGAATCTGGAATACGTCAAAAGCACAGATTCTCATATCCTGCAAGTTACAAACGGCTTGAACGATGTTATACCAAGTTCTTAATAAAGTCTTTTTGCCAAGAGATAGATGGGTTTTTTTAGACAGTTGTGAATTTCATACACAACTTGACACCAGAGCGCATTTTAATCAGTTTTAAATCTCCAAATAACCATTTAGAGAGCAAGGCCAGATTGAGAGATAGAAGAGAGCCCACCCCGAGACCACCTTTTTCTTTTGGACCAAGAACCATTTTCCAAGCCACCCAAGCAATTTTATTTTTTTCATCGTTCCCGTCCCAAAGAAAGCGACGTCTAATTTTCTCCAAAAGCTTAATAATCGAAGAAGGGGCCTTAAAAAGGGATAAAAATAGATCGGAAGACTACCCAACACGACTTTAACCAAAGTAAGTCGGCCGCCAAAAGAGAGAGATTTAGTCTTCCAGTCAGATAGCCTGGAGTGAAACCAGTCAATGATAGGATGCCTGTGTGTTTTCAGCGACATATTAGCTCCTACGGGAACACCCAAATATTTTAAAGGAAAATAGGTGACATTGCATCCCAAAATACTTTCACATCCGTTTACTTACCCTATCAAAACTCCAATCTCATAAACTTGAGATTTGCCAAATTTTACTTTAAGACCCGCACAAGCATGACAACATGATCCTCACCAAGTTGTCAAAATTTGAACTTAACCATTCATCAATAAATAGAACATCGTCTGCGTAAAAAAAGATGTGATATAGAAGGACCACGATTAGGAATTAGAACACCATGAAACATAGATTTTTGGCAAGCAGATTTCATGGCGACATTCAGCCCTTCCATTGGAATAATAAAAAGGAATGAAGAGAGCGGGTCGCCTTGACGCACACCCTTGGAAATGTGGAATTCTTTAGTCGTTCAGCCATTGATAAGAACTAAAGCCTCGGAAGACGAGAGACATCTTTTAATCTAGAAATGTCATTTCTCACCAAATCTCATTTGTGCCATCACTGAATCAAGATAATTTCAATTTATGGAATCAAACGCTTTATCGAAATCAACTTTAAAAAGAAACAGTTTATGTTTCGCATTCTTTGACCAATTGCATACTTCATTAATTATCATTGGACCATCTAAGATGTTTCTACCTTCAATGAAGGTAGATTGCGTCAATCTGATAATTAATACCAATAACTCGTTTTAATTGGAAGCAAAAGATTTTGCGATAATTTTGTAGTTGTATCCAATGAGACTGACGGGACGGAACTCATTAAGAGAGCGAGGGCCTTCTTTTGATTTTAGGAAGAAGAGTAATAAAAAAGGAATTGCTTCCCCTAGATAGGCAACCAAAATCTTCGAAATGTTTTAACGAATCTCATGATATCGTCTTGCATCAAAGGCCAATAATGCTTAATAAACTTGAGAGAAAAGTCATCAGGTCTGGGAGTTTTTTCACCTCCGCAATTCCAAATCGCCTCTTTAATTTCATTAAGATCGAAAGAAGCCTCCAAAAAATTCTTATCCGCTTCTGAAAGTTGCAAGAAATTAGTATTGATGGTTTCTTGAAATTTGTCCCTAAAAAATTTTCAAGTCTCATGTTTAATAGTTTCCACGTTAGTAATCCTATTTTCATCCACCATAAGGCCTATCTCCTATTTTAAATTTTCAGGGAGTTATGAAAATAACGGGAGTTTTCGTCTCCGTCTCGCAGCCCCTTATTTTTCGATTTCCAAATAAGATCAAGTTTTGCGTCATTCTCCGGCTCAATATCAAGATGTTTATATTCCCTCTTTAACGAGATTTTAGAATCAGAGAGATTCCTTTGCTTATCATTTCCCAAATAATTTATAAAAAAACATATTATCAAAGTGACAGCACAAAAGATAAAATGATAGTATCTCCAACCCATCTCCATTTTCCCCCCATAAATGGAGTAGAAAATGGAGGAAATAGTGATTCATCTCCAACACTACTCCATTTTCTAACCCCATTTTTTACCCCAAAAAGTATATTCCTAGAATATTCTATTTTTATAACTTATATATATTGTCAAATAAACCCCTCTACTAATTAAACTCTATATTTATGATTAATTAATATAAATTAGTTTATAAAATGATATTATAAATATTAAATATTGTATTTAAATTATAATTAGTAGATAAAATAAACTAGAAATGTATAAAATAAAAATGAGAGGGACTAAAATTGGCAACCAAACTTCACATGGGAGAATACTATTCATATCTACGAAAATAGAAGTGAAAATGGAGTAGGGTTGGAGAAAAACGGGGGAAGAAATGGAGTTTGAGGATGGATCGGAGATGCCCTCACGTATCACTATGCTAAAAGTTATGTTCGCGTAAACCGTAAAATAAAACGACAACCATATGATAACCTCAGGCCCCACTCTTAAGTTTTTCATGGTAAAAGAAATAGAAAAGGTTTCTAAATACGAATTCCACCGGATTGGTTTGGCCCCACGCCTAGTGGGAATCCTAACCGACGTCCCCCTCAATCGCCAACTATCTCATTTAAATTTATTTATTTCACAAAATTGAAGAAAATTTGTAAAGATTCGTAATTTCATAATACACAAAAAAAAACAATACGCTTTAATTAAACCTATATGTGGTTAAAAACTATTTTGTACAACTTGCAAAAATATTTAGATGCCTAACGGAAATTTTTCTTTCAAAAGGAAACTAAAAAAACAAAACATTTATGTCGAACATAAGAGCATAATGAACCCAAAATACATAAAATGATAAATTTAAAAAAAAAAAAAAAAAAGTCAAACATGTATACAATCTTAATGTCGACCTAAGAGCATAATAAACCAGAAATACATAAAATGGTAAAATTAAAAAAATAAGTCAAACAAGTATACAATCTTAATGAACCTAAAATACGTCACAAACATATCAAATTTAAAAGTTTTATTTCATTTGCCATAAAATTTTATTAACTTAGTTTTCTGATTATATTATAATTAATGCGTATTCAAAGTTCAAACATCTAATTTATTAGGGTTTATTTCTTAAATTTGTGTGAATATACAAAATTTGAATAGAATATGGACAAAGTAATTGTTTGAGAAGTTGTTTATACTTTATACCCTAAAACACGGTATCGCCTCCTTCCAGAAAATTCTATAAATGAGGTGCCCATGGCACCATGCTTAGGCTTGAAGAAGCAAACACAGAGCCTCTTCTTCTTCTCTCTTTTTCCAAACTGCTAAAAATCACAATGGCAGGACCTTCACTCGAGAGCAGCACCACCATCAAATTCTTATACAGTTACGGCGGCAAAATCCTCCCCCGTTATCCCGACGGAAAGCTTCGGTATCACGGTGGTCAAACTCGTGTACTCGCCGTTGACCGCTCCCTCTCTTTCACCGGTTAGTTCACGTTTTATATTCCAGAATCCAGACCTGTTTTTGATTTGAAACGTAAGTGTTTGAGATTTAATTACTTGTGATTTACAGAATTACTGGCGAAATTTGGCGAATTGTGTGGGAGTTCTGTGGGTTTACGGTGTCAATTGCCGACGGAGGATTTAGATGCGCTTGTATCCATCACCTCCGATGAAGATCTCGTTAATCTCATTGAAGAATACGATCGGCAACAATCAAAATCTCTCAAAATCAGAGCTTTTCTCTCGTTTCCACGGAGGCTATCTCCGACTCCTTCCACCGCCTCCTCCGCTGTTGGATCGTCTTCCTCAACCAGTACTGCCACGCATGAGGCAGGATCACCGAAATCTTCTCTTTCCTCCACCTCTTTCTCCGTCGCGAGATTTCCGGTTACCGCCGCAAATCGCTGCGTCTATAATCTTTCAAAACCACAGGTTAAGCTTCCATTCCGCTACAACAACTCTACCGGAAAGCTACCGTATCCGGCGTACGGAAGTTCTAGCAGATATTACCTGGTTCACAATGGCAACCATTGGCAATAACCAGCTCTAGATCTGGCATGGAAGAATATCAAATAAACGAGTAAACAAGCGATAATATAATTTAAAATTCATCGAAAATAATCAAATCAAGAGAAGTGATATGCAATGTATGATTGGATTGGACTTTGAATCATATAAGATTTAAATCTGTGTTTTTACAAATCCAGTGACTGAATATCATTCGCGAGTAACAAAAACCCTAAATTCAGTCCAAATTCTTTTGTTGATGATCCATACCCATTGTTGATCGTTCTGTGATGAAGGCATCCTATAATTGCCTTCATCCTCTCTGTTTGTCAATTTTCCGGCAATGGTCTGGTTTTGAGTAATTGCGTCACGTTAATCGTAATCCTCCGTTTGCGTTCACCGGCGGCAGTTCCGTCCAACGTCACCGTATTTTGTCCTATTCGTAACCTTCCCGGAATCCCGGTGACCGTTTTCCTTCCTTAAAGTTTTAAATTTAATTATTGATTTTTTTAATAATGGTTTCATAAAAAATTGTTTTTGCAACTTAAATTTCAGGTGGCAGACTGGCAACTGGACGTCATTAATGGCGGATGTGGTGGCTCCGGCGAGGTGGTATGGAGTAACGACAAGGTATACGGAGCCACAGGTTGGAGATAGGGCGTGAAAGTGACAGGACCCTCCGAATGATATTGATGATGAGATGGGACGAGGAAGACAGTTAAATTTGAAGATAAACCTTTTTTAAAGAAAAAAATTATGGACCGTTGATGCATCAATTATGTCGAATACGACACAGGACTACATTATTGGACTATTCACACCAAAAATAAAATAAATCATATTAAATAATATCTTAATTATAAATTCCTTATATAAATAATTCGAACAATTGAAAATTTGATAAAAAAATCTACAAGACAATTTAAAAACATTGTTAGGACTAGGTACTTTGAAGGTGGGTTGTTTATTGGTGGCTGGCCGACCTGGTGAAGGAACAAGAGCCGTGAATTGATATCATTTATAAAATTATAATTTTTTAAATTCGATATGTTATTTCTAGTAGAATTCCAGTTGGTTGATTTTAAAGAAGAAGCCAAATCATATTAATAATATTAATCATTTTCTAAGATTTAAACAACAATTATTAGAATATTTTCAAAGCTACTCATCAATAGGGATGAAAACCGCTGGGAGTCTGGGACTGAATAACAAAAATCCAAAAATGAAAATTCAAGAAACTGGAAACCAAAGAGACTTATGAGGCTACGGTATCAGTATCTTAAGTTTCAGGTGGCAGGGGTTGTTAAAGTGGAGGGGCTGTTTGAAACTAAAATGAAAGTGAAGGAGCTGTTTGAAACTAAATTGAAATTGTGTATACCAGTTTGAAACTAAAATGAAAGTGAAGTGGTTGTTTGAAAACAAAGCATAAAATGAATGTCTATGAGCTATTTGAAACTAAAATGAAAACGCACGGACTATTTGAAACTAATGCGTAAAATGTAGGGGTTGTTTGTATCTTATTCTAAATAGTTTTATGACATAACTTCATAAATGGCCCTATTGTTTTTCAGAATTTAGGATATAGTCCCTAACTTTTAAAAAAACTTTATAGAAGGTCCCTGTAGTTTCTATTTTCTATCATGGTTGGTCCCTGTCCCACCTAAAAAGACTTTTATACCCTTTGTATTTTATTTTATATTTTAACAAAATTATTATAACATAAAAAGGAAAAAGGAAATAAAAATCCTCTCTCTCTCTCTCTCTCTCTCTCTCTCTCTCTCTCTAACCTCTCTTTGTTTTTTTCTAGACCGAGCCTTAGTAAAAAAAAAAGGAAGATTCTCCCTTGTTCGTCATCTTTTTACGTAGGCCTGCAAATCTCTCAACTTTTTGGGTTCCTTTGTGTCAATCGCCAATCGATAGTTACATAAAAAAGAATCCAACCTTTGTTCCTGGTATTCGTTCATAACCAATTGGGGAAATAGTACCTTTATTTTTCATCTTTTTACCCAACCTTGTTGAGGTTGATTGGGGTGAAACACGCATAGTCAACCCGTGTTCTTCGAGAGTCCATATAGACACACACACACACATTAGGTAGTTTCTTGTTCTTCAATTTTGTTTTATACATCCTTAGTAATCAAACGAGATGGTGGTGATCGGTTGTTGATGTGAATGATGGCATTAGGTTGATGTAGGGATGGTGCTAGCTAGCCTCAATCATAATAGTAAGTAAAAAATCCCATTCTCTCTCTCTCTCTCTCTCTCTCTCTCTCTCTTTCTCTCTCTTATGAGAGTGCATTATGCCGATCTGAATTAGATTTTCTTCTTCGGTATTCAAACATACAATCATAAACTTTTTTCTAGGGATGGTCTGCAAAAAAAACTGAGATTGTAAAGAGAAAAAAGATAGATACAGGTTTGATGGAGGTAGTGCAAGTTTAACATCCCAAAATTTTAACATATTTAAAACTTTTCAAAACAACCCATTTACTAATAAAAGTGTTTACAAAACCATCGTTTCCAAAAACATGATTTAAAATGAGAGTCTCCTAAGATCCAATCAGTTGTCAAACCAAGGATGTGTACGGTCACGCCTTCGCCTTGCCACAATCATCTGAAGCACCTGAAACAATAAACTGAAACTGTAAGCACGAAGCTTAGTGAGTTCCCCCAAAATACCAAAACACGAACTAATAACAATATGTATTGGGTCCACAGCTAAAAGACTGGATTACCCCTGAGCCCACAGTATAAGTTTAGCTTGCCTATCGGGCCCACAGCTCATATCTGACTTGCTCCTTAGCCCACAGCATAAGTCTGGCTTGCCCTCGGGGCCCACAACTTATGTTTGGCTTGCTCCCTGAGCCCACAACATAAGTCTGGCTTGCCCCTGGGGCCCACAACTTATGTCTGGCTTGCTTCTTGACCCAATCAGCCATCGGACTGAAATACTCTCAAGCCCTCAGTACGAGTCTGGCATAACACCCGGTCCTCAGCTCGTATCTGGAATCTATATGAGCCCTCAGTATGAGTCTGGCATGCCCCTCCCGACCCTCATCTCATAACTGGAATGCTCCAGGGTTTGTTGGCTATAGAACGAAGTTGTACAACCTCAACCCAACACAATATGTCGACATATAACAAATACTAACATATACAGATAATCATACAAACATTATCACAAGTACTCCTACCGATCTACCCGACTAGCATATCAAAACTCGCATGCATATCTATTCCATACTCATCATATCAACAAATATCAGGCTATCAAACCAATGGGCCGACCTTGGTGCCTTCGACCCGCAAGTACAGTGAGGAGAACTCACATCGCAGACTGAACAGAACTGATGAGGACCGACTCCGAATCTCGGATCTCTAACAATTACATGTTTCCACCAAGTGACCAATTCCATAAAAATCCCAAAATACCCTCAAGGTCCAACTTGGTCAAAGTCAACGGTCAATGTCAACAGTCCATGTTGACCCAACACGTCGTGTTCCCCTTGGCCACGTCGTGTTTCACCAGCATCCAAACAGTCAGGAAAACCTCAGCCAACACGTTGTGTTGACTTGTAAACACGCCGTGTTCGCCTGAGTTCCAACACCTTAATACATTCAGCTGTTTCTTCGACTCCAAGAGCTCCAAAGCTCAGTTCTAGACCAAGATGTGATTAAGAAGGATAAAGTTTCCAACTTTATCCATTGGGGACTACCAAAAAGGTCCGAAACCTAAACCATAAAGCTTGATAATGCAACGTCTTAACCAATACGCACTTAATCCTTAAAGTATGAAGTCCATCCTTTCCAGAAGTGATTCTCACACCTAAACCATCCCAAAGGTTGGTTCTTTTTAAACATACATCCCCAATGCATGTCTTGAACCCATATTAGGTCAAAATGAGGATTTATGACCTAATCTCTATGCATGGCATTAAAACTTGATTATAGACCAGATCAAAGACAATACAAGGCCACCTTGACCTGGAGATTTATAAAGTTGCAAACTTTATGAGATCTAACCGTTCCAACATTCAAGAACAAGAAGCAAAAGGGATAAAACCCAAGATCTAACAACTTGAATGATAAAAATCGAGTCTTGGACACTTACAAATGTCCAGAAGAGTGCCAAACTGAATAATGGGGGCGTGCTTGCTGGATCTTTACTTCTTTCTTCCACCTGAGGGCCGGAACCGATATCCCACATACTCGCAATGCGGATCCCTAAAAATCATTCCTCAATACCATGAACCCCAACAGATCGATGATCCTCCAAGCAGAATACCCAATTCTCCCTACTTAGGGTTCGAATTACCACCCACTGGTGTTAAAACCAACTATAACTCAAACCGTCTTATCCAGGTACAACCATCCCTGACCCGGGGAATGAATAATACACATAGGATGATCTTTTAGATAAGGATCAAACAAATCTAAAGAGAATCCAGAATTTCAGCTGAAGATCTCCGAAATTCCTAATCATGACCACTTAACATTAAGGATCCCTTAGAAGAGCATAAAAGCAATACCGACTTATGATCCAAAACATACACTCCTTGCCTATAATTCCAACCGTCAATCTGGTACCTGACCTACCTATCACCCAAGAACACGGACCCTTGATCACATCACCAACATCTATACCACATCAACCCACATGCGCACTATCGTGCTGACAATCTGTCTCCAAATAATGCAACCAACCGTCCCCATGCTAGGTTTACATCCCAACACTGAAATTCACAAGCTTGATCACTCCTCCTTTGAATCCGAAAGACTGAAAGGGAAAAATTGTTACTATTGATAGCTACATACCAAATTCTCCCCACTTAGGATCCCTAAAAATCATTCCTTAATACCATGAACCCCAACAGATCGATGATCCTCCAAGCAGAATACCCAATTCTACTTCCAACTGTAATCCCTAAACCGATCATAACCGTCGATCCATCCTTGAGTCCCGCGACTCGAATGCACGACCTTAAGAAAAACCCTCGAGACCTCAAAACCAACAAGCTCACCTAGGTCTGCACAAACCAATCCAAACCAATTTCACCAATGGGACCGAACAATTACCAGACCCATCCCCATGCCTGAGCAACCATAACTAAAGATCAACAAATACGGAGCTATCGCCACAAATAATGGTATCAAACCATGCTAATCTCCCCCGACAAGTCTTTAGTATCCCTAAAAATTTCCTTGTTTTGAGTATGGATCTTGTGTTTCCAGTAGTACGGGCCCAATACTCCCTTCCACACCTATCCATACTTTCCTCAAGGATCATCCCGGGTCCTCCAAGACCTACTCATAATAATACTTCCGATACCTGATCAACAGTGAATAATCGCGCTAAAATACTTCCTAGGCTCTCCTAGGATTTCCACCCACCTCCCTTGCAATCAGCTGCTGAAGAACTCCAATCAATGTCAACTAACCACTTCATGAATACAGTTACATGCAACAAAACTTAAATAATATTTCGACTAAAGGACCTAACCCTACAACGGTTGTAATCAGACAAGAGTTGCGCAATAGGGTCGAATCCTTCACTCTAAGGGTATTTATTCTTCATAGCATGTAACTTAGTGTATTAATTAGATGGCCAACTCACATCAACATGAGTCCCACAAAGCACAAAGCAAGAAGCATTCGAG